CCCGACAGCACTGGCACTCCCGAAGAACACGGACTCGGATCCAATAGCCTATTCTCTTCGTATGTCTGTCGTCCTTTCCAGGAGAGCTCCGGGCTGGAACTCAGCGCGAAAAATTCGGAGATTCTCGGACGGCTTCCGCGGATTTTCCGGGCATCGTCTCGGATAACTCACTGCACCATCAAATCTTATTTGCAATGGCCTCCACTGGAATTTGAGGCGCGCATCGCTCGAAGCTCAGAAGTTGCGCACTAGGAACACGATGCATCTTCTGCCGGGAACCCAGTTCGAGACGCGAATCTTGCGTTCTGAGCTACGTGGCTGCCTCCTGGGCATCGAAGCGGGTCTATTTCCTTTCAGACTCCCTCGGGGGACGATGAGCGACGGGCGCGGCGTGTCATCTTCGCGGCTGGTCTAAAAAGTTGTGGCTCTCCCGCTTCAGTTTCACCGAGGGATCGCTCCGCTGATTCCATTCTTGACAAATCAATTTGCTTCGTTTGCGGGACGACTCCGGCTAGTGCCTCTCGCCGAGCGACTGGCACGCTCTTCAGATGGATGGGTGGCTGGAGGAATGACCGAAGCTGTGTTTCCCAAGATTCCCCAGAGATCATGAGTGAACAGAAACAGGGAGTCAGATAAACAGACAGAGTGCGTTTAATTCCTATTAGGTCGAGAGCTCGAACTTGGAGCTTTAGGGGTGGTGCAGGTTCGCTCGTCGAGAAGACAAGTGACAGCCACGGACTCAGGCGCTAGCCCGCTTGACCGGTGTCCCACTCACCGATGTCGCTACTCGGTCATTGGTCAGCGCTCCGCTCCAATGGAAGTGTGGGTTTGTTCATCGGGACATTGCGTTAGGCCCATTAAGTAGAGGTTTTCACTGAAACTTGGACCGGGAGCGAGGACATCTCTATGAGATCCGTCGAGGCCACTCTTCAGTTTGTCGCCTCTTCGCGGCGCATGTCGAAAACTCAGCTTGGTAAGAGCCCGAGACACAAATAAGGTTTTTCAGGGTATCAGCAGAGAATCCAATCATTTAGTCGACGCGAGGAAGTGTCGGAGATCCCCTCCCGTTGAATCAAACCATTTCTGTTAGTCTTTTGCTGTTAAGCTGGGGTGCCGCGGAGCTCATTCACTTCTCATCGACGCGTCCCGAATCTCACTCGAACTCGGAATCATTCTCAACGAAGCGTTCAACCCGTTATTCTCTGGTGGTCGGGCCGACTACTCGGCATTTGCTAATTTTCAAAATCCGATCGAGCAAGGCACTCCTACACCCAACGACCGAGCGACCGACCGGCAGGCAGGCAGGCCGACAGCAAGAGTCAATAAGTACGAGTGTGTATACTTCATACGAAACTGAGTGAGTGTGTGTGACTGAAAGCACTTCACGAGCTTACCTGGACTTCCTGTGGCGAGCCGGCAATCGAGCCTAGTTGGCTCGCTCGTTTCAGAGTCATTTGTCACCGTGAACGAGCGCCACGCCTCCGCTACCAGGACAAAAACCGCGACCACCTCCGCGCGCGCGGGCGGGCGGGCGAAAGAGATGATGAAGACGAATCCAGGTAGTGCGTGAACTTTTTAATCGCGAGAATAAAGCTCTCGATGAACGCAATTCCATTGCGGATGTGATCGCGGAGGAGGAGGTTCAGGGGATGACAATTGCATGCAACGACATGCTTGCCGGAGGTCCCGCGGCTGCAGCAGAGAACCATCAGAAACTTGGATCGACCTTGGCATTGGGTTGGCCTTGCAGATGATCGCCGACGATCACGTAATGGCCCGTGGTTGTAACGAGTTCTATTGTTGGTCACAAAAGAAATAAATGGCCGAAACCGCGTATCTAGTTACCGGTTGGTTAAAGGACACACTCGACGCAAGTTATCGACCTGCTTTCAAGGTCAAGCAGCTTTGATTAGGACGGTTTGCGGGGGTGGATTTTCAACCAGCTGGCTGAAATAAACTGGTTTAGGTTTTTATTCCTCGCGATCGCACACTCGAATCTCGGGACGGAGCCCCGTGCTCTCTTGCTGGACCTGAGGAACATTTTCCCGACAGGATCCGAAGGCGTTTTCTCTCTGAACTATGTTGTCAAGAGTGATTCAGCCTTAGCTCGGCTTCGAAAATCAGAACGAGTCATTCTGGCGGCTATAGGAGGGCGGAATAGGTCATCTGAACCTCAGATCTCAGACGAATCTTACTTCGTGGCGAGCGGGAAGTTTCAATAATTCTAGGTGACTCCCGGATCTCTCCACGATTTCGAGAAGCTGGTGACCTTGTGATAATCGACGGGTAGTAGAAGAGGCCAGGTCTTCAAATGTTAGTGAATGGATGAGACTCGCAGCCAGAGTCCGGTCATCCATTTAAGCGTTTACTCATTCCTTCTCGAGGCACCTTTCGATGGCCTCCTAACAGCCTCCTCCTCCTTATACGACAATGTTTTGAGCGCATCTTCTGTGTATCCCACGAGTAGCAAAGGACTGTGTCTGTTCGAGGATGAACCAGACTAGACTTGTCTATGAGGAGCGCGTGAACGACTGAACAGCCAACGAGACGATGACCGACTAACTCGTACGAGAGGTAGCACCCCGGAAAGCATCGATCTCCCAGCGTGCATGATTGCTCCGATAAGCGCGTCTGCCTCAATGGGGATCCTGTAAGTGGCCTAACGAGAAACGTACTCTACAAATTTATTGCTACTAAGAGCTTGCGCAGAATAGTAGGCTACTTGTATCGCCGAGAACGGAGCACGCAAATTGGTTTCAGTCACCTTGAACTTCTCCCCGAGATTTAGTCCGCTCGAAGAATTTACCGCGGGTAGTCCAATACCGCAAGGGCAGCGAGACCAGATCTGTCATACAGGGTCTGACTGATTCTAGCGGAGTGACGCGTCAGACTCGTTGAAATGTTCCATAGATCCCTCCGAACGCTTCTTCCCTTCTAAAGCAGCGGTCATGAAACTTTTTCCCCCAAGTGTCTCTTCAGCCTCATGGAGGCGCCTCCGTGTTCTTTTAGAACATTGACGAGCATTCAGCTAGAGGAATATGGGATTTTCACTCAGATGAGGCACTGTTTCGTTTTCTCCCGACGTTTCGTCGTTTGGTCCTCTGTCGTACGACGGTCGGATTCCCGTCCTATCGAAAGACGTGCTCTCGATATCTGTTGATGACATCGGCGTCGTTCGTCTCTCGTGAATGAAATAATATCGGATGAGCCTCTTAGGTGTCATTCACGCCTCTCGCGTGAGGCGCGTCCAAGCAGTTCGTGACAACAGGGGCTTCTCCAGGTATACAATGGTCTGGAAGAACAACATACATAGAACCAGGTGCTGGAAAGATCGACCTTCATTTTGGCGGTGAATTTCCCAAAACGCTCAACTTGTCCCACTGCTATACTATGCTCTTTCAGAAGCCTCACCGATCCGCTCCATACTCGATGTCTGATGGCTCCGGCTGGAGACTGTTCTCATTCTCATTGAAGGCGAGACGCAGAAACCTCGAACGCCCATTCGTTGTTCCCTCTAAGCCCGTCGACAATGTCAGCAATCGAGTAATTCCGTTACCATTCAGGCCGAAAAGTTTCTCACGTGACCAATGAAAACCTCCGCTGCGATTCGCGGCATGCAAAAGGGACCTCAAGAGATCGCATTGCTTCGCGCGATTGCGGACGCCCCACGCTACTCACGGGCTCGCTCAAGCGATACTCATCACGCGCCGCTCTCACGACTTTCGGGAACCTCATCGACGCTCAATGCCAGCAAGAAGATAGGTGACCGAAAGAAGACGAAATCATGTTCAACTTGACTCTAAATTTCAATCGAGCAGCTTCGATACGTGTGGCGCAGCTGAAGGGAACCGATGATCAAATCCGAGTTCTATTCATCGCCTCTGTCGTCAATCATACGGAGCGCTTCGCGCAAACTGAGCAATCCTCCATGTGGTGGCTACCGGTCATGAAATTGAATCCGTAGACTAGGACGTAGAGATTATCTTTTATAAGCGAGAAGTCAGTTGTGAGCTTTCTATCCGAGAGCCGAGTCACGGAGATGGAGGAGTATCCTTACGATCGCTGCCGGGGTTCAGTAATCCGATCTGGGACTCCGTCGTCGAAGGACCAGATACGGGACAAGGACGCCTAAAATATGTGCCACGGAGCGGTCTCGAAAACCCAACAGGGCCTGCAGTCGCTTTTTCAAAAATGTTCTTGCTCCCGATGAAACAGCCGAGAAAGACGGCGGACATCGAGATCGATCTCAGCTATTCTTGAGAACCCACCACCTTGAAGATTCATTTGTTCCAGAGCGGCAAGACCTCCGTTAAGACAGACGTTGGCAACCAGAGGTGAATACTTCGATTGATGACTTCTCATGTCCAGTTCCCAGAGCCTGCCCATGGAACGTATCGTCGAAAAGTTTCTTATCTGGTGACAGAGAGCGCTCTCGCTGACGTTTCGGATGTCGTTTAGCACGCTCACGTATAAGGAGGATTCTGCTGTTTTACAGATGGATTCTAGCGGAGTGTTTTTCTCTTGAGATCTATTTGAAGCCTCGAACGAGCGGATGGTCGGATGGCTGGCTGGATGGCTGGCTGCTTAGCTCGCTGGGCAACGATACGCTGTAATAATCCCCGTATTTTCCTCCGAGCCCTCACCCTTGTCCAAAACCTCACCCTCGTGCAAATCCCTTTCCCTCGACGAAGGCGGAGCTAGGCCTTCACTACGCTCCTCGAACCTCGTGCTACTTCAGTGTGCTCCAAAGCCTAATTGAGTTAGGCGAGTGTATCCCTTAAAACAGTAAAGAGACGATCATCCCAAATCCAAAGGACGGACGACGTCAGGTTCGACTTTTGCCCCGACGTTCCAAGTTATCGTTGAGTCTCCTTCCAAGTTCGCGAAAAAAAAACGCAGCAGCAGACAGTAGCTTCACAAGGCGTTCGGCTCACCCGGTGAGCGCTGTTCGAACAAGTTCTCAAGTTGTGCGTCCTGCCCGTTACCTCCGTGTTGCCCAGATGATGGACTATTCCTATCTGAACCAGGCTGCCCAGGCGGCGTTCGACGCCAACTGCGGAGGCCTGGACCACCAGCTGCCCTGTGCGCCATATTCAACAGACATAAATGCTAGTTACGGTGTATCTAGTCCTGCCAACGCAATGCCCCGCTACACTCCCTCCGCGCGTGGTTTCTCCGCTTCTCCGCCTGTAAATTCCGCCGTTGCCAATCCCGCTGCGGGCATTTTCCCGAGCAAACGTCAAGACAGCCCCATTCCGTCTCAAGGCACCTCTTCGCCGTCACCGAACGCGACGGCTCCCCACGTTTTTTCCTCGGGAGTCGGGCTCCAAGGTGAGTTCAGTTCAATCGTGTCGTAGACTGCCTCCCACGATTTGGTCACGCTTTGCCAAAGATCAGTCGTGGCGCTCCGACCACGGGTAGACGCAGCGACGGGGTCTCTTCGAAAGTACTGTGCTCTGCTCATGGCGCTCGAGGTCTGGTGTTGGCCGGTCTGGGCCTCGAGACGAGACCAGACCCGGCGCTCAATAACAATAAAGCCAGCGAACGATTTGCTTTTGTTTCTTCCTAAATGACATTTTGGACTGTTCGAGCAGCTCGAACGAAGTCCTTTGTCGGACTCGATTTCCCGTTCAGAAGCCTCATTGCCACAGTCGGTCTAGCTACGATTTCACTCTGAGGATTCGTTGTCCTCGTCCTCCTCCTCCTCCTGCTGCTCCCGTCGCTGGTCATCGTCGTCGACTTCCGCTCGTAAAACCCTTCCGTTACTCCCATGTACCTGCTATTAGGGCGACGGGAGCCCACCAGAAAGAATCGAGCAATAAATAAACAAAACAAAAGTCAGAAACCCGACACTGCTCCGAGGCGAACCTGCTCCAACACTCGTTCGCTAAGCGAGGAGCTCTACCCATGTATGTTCAGCGAAACCCTTTTTCACTCACGACTGACTAGAGAGACTTGCGCAACTTGATTTATAGCCAAACTAGTAACGATTCGCGTAGCCAGCCCGATTGCGATTCCCGACCGCACACACCATAGACCCGGCGTGAGGGACTTGTTCTGGCTCAGATAAGTTTTTGCAGTTCATCAGTGAAGGCGGGAGGAGGGTTTCTGCGGAATCGTTGTTAGTTAGACTTACTCGTTTCCACGAGCGACAAGATAACGCTTCAACGGTTTCGCTCAGCTGTGGTTGTGTATTCGACTTGACTCACCCACTCGGACAGATTTGTCGATTCCTCTGCAGAAACACAGCTCATTTTCCCTCCATGCTGACAACATTCGAGTATGGAGAAATCCCGGACGAAAATCAGTCGGGAGAAAATCTCCTCATTGGACTGGGGCGTTCGAACTTCAGATTGATTTCCCCAAATCGATAGGGGAGAATTCTAATATCTATATCAGCGAGAGGACAACATCGTGGAATGGAGACTCGTCCGAGAAGCCTCCCCTAAACTAGATGTCAGTCAGAAGCAGCCCGTTTCCCTCAATCAAAGGCTACTTTACGGAAGTGCTTGCTAGCATTCGAGTGAGCGAGCAAGTCAGCACTCCGTGTCAATTCACCTACACAGTTCCAATGACAGATGCTCAATCTGCGGTACATCGAGCTCCGCTCACAAAAAAAAACAAGAGAGTAGAAAAGGTCAGGGGTTAGTTCGGCCTAGTACGGTTGCAACACGCGGATTGTTGCACCGCGATAGTGACGATGAGCAATGAGCATGATGGATGGCTCGACCCGGTCGCTGGTTGAATAACGACTTGAGCCTAGTTTACCCTTAACCCTAGCGGGAGTAGTTATGATTTATCGCCCGATGCGAAAGGTACCGAGAGGGAATAAAAATTAGCGGTCGAGCTTTCGCCGTCGGTCCTCTCATCAGGGATGGCATTCTTCTTTTGGTTGGAGCTTCTGATTAGCAGAATCGGATGAAAGGTATCACCTAGACAGCAAAAGTCACTGGGGCTGGTTTGGAAGAAAGAGAATTCGCGCTTCGCGTCGTGCTGAAGTGGTCAATGATCGCGAAAAGAATGTAGGCGGCTTACGGCACTGATGTATGTTTGTAGAAGAGCGCTCCCATCCCAACGGCTTGTCGTCGCAAATGGGATTTATATTTGAATGCTAAACCCGCTGAGCACCCCGTATTTCTTTCTTGTCACATAATCCACTACCAATCAAGACTCACGTGACTCCCTCGGCGGTCCCCACCGCCCATGCTTGTCGATAAGGGAAGATAAAGACAAACTTGTTGCGATAAGATGGAATGACATGCTGGGAACTTCTCGGGGAAATTGTAGATTGATAAGGCGTGAAAACTTCATCAACGAGGGGGAATCCCATCTCCTCGGATGCCTGGAGACTTTTGCCCGGCCTTGCGTTTCGAAATCAGAAAATAATAGATATTTTTTCGTTTTGCGCAGGTGGAGCCCGAGGAGTGTTCCCGTTTCCTGTTGGCGCAACCGATGCTGACGTTTGGCCTCGCACCGACCGCTTATCAGATTGGAGTCCGGACAGAGATCGTTCCGGGCGACAAGTTTCATGGTTCGGTCAAGGTAAGTCGTCCTCTACAAAAACAAGTTCCGCCGTCCTCTGCGTGCGGTCTCTCGGTCATCGGCGCATGCGCTCTCCGTGCCAGATCTCCAATCAGGTGTCGACGATAGATGTAAACCCTCATGAAGAGCGCTACTGCAAACGACTCAAATGGATTGTTTCCGCGAACGGAACACGGCAACCCCTCGCCGATCGTCGACCGAAGAGTCCGACAGACCGAGCGAGTGCTGCTTGAAAAATCGATCCCCAACGTTGGCGAGGCGCTGTTGGCGTTTCGGAATGCCAACTGGCTTTCGTCTGAGTCAGGGAACGTCGACGACTTGAGGGATGAAACTCAGGAGATCACTCGCGGCGGCACCACTGGTGGGTGCTGCTCTACCAGCAATCCATGCGGCGGTGCCACAGTAGCGAAGACAACGTCGGCATCGGCTACAACAAGTGGATTTTTCCGATGGCTCCCTCTAGCGATAACCGGACGTCTGCGGGGCGACTTGACCGATGGGCACCAATAGAAATGTGATTTGGATGCGGCAAATCACACTTCCGTTCAGCTCTTGGCCGCTCCCTGGAACCGGACTCGCTGTCCTCCTATCGCTGCGCTGCTTGGGGAGTTCGGAAGAAGCGATTCTCACAGGTTGCGGGAAAAATTCCCACAATGAGACCCAGACGATATAACCGGGAGGGCCATCAAGATTCCATAAAACGCTCAGCAGCTCCGGCCGCTACCGTATCTCGTCGGAATGTTCCTCCACCTCCCGCCGAAAACAGCGCTGATAAACAATGCACTCGAATGACAAATAGGTGAACCGAGGCGATTCCGCTTCCGTGTGCCGAGGGTGGCTTTTCGCCTCCAGCGAACCTCCGGGGAAGACTTTGTACGAGTCGTCTCTTTGCTTCTCCTCGTCGTTGTGTTGTTTTCGAATAAACAGCTGTTTTTAGAGGCATCGACTTGTTTGAGCGATGACGGAAAAGTCAGATCGCTGCGGTCTGGCTAACTGGCTGTCGGGCGGACTTCTTCTTGCACGCTCGCTTGCGCGTCTCGGACTTTCTTCGCTCGAGCTCGAAGAGAGACGAGCTCGCTTGTCCGAGGACGTGATCGGAAACCAGCTCATCAAAGCGTCCCTTTATTCAGCTAGGCCTCCCGGTCCCTCACTCAACAATGGCGGAGACGCCGACAAGAACGACGAAGACGACTTGCGGGGACTGTTGCTCGCCGTGTGGTCGGTCGTACGAGGTGGCGGGCGGGCTGGCGGACGGGCGGTCTGAGGAACGGGGAGAAGAACGACGGAGGGCGTGATCGCTACCGAACATTTTTCTTCCAAGATATCGTCATTTGGGACTCTTAGTCTCTCCGTGCTTCTCTTCGCCGCTGTAACGTCGTCGTCGCAGTTGTGGAATTTGCACTCGAGCTCGGCCACTCTGATGATGGTGAGTGCTATCCGATTCGTGGGCGCTTCCATTTGCCGCTGCCGCTATTCCCATCGTTCCAATTCCTCGCTCGTTGGGCTCAAACCGACTGAAACATTAATCTAATGTGCGGATTGTCGAAACTTTTTCGGACTTTCTTCACAATTAGTGAGCCCGCTCGCATAATTTGCGGCATTTGTCACATTTAATCGCAATAATGTGTCGCGGCCGACGACCAGCCAAGACAGCTGAGCGCTCCACCACTTTGCGGACTGCTGAACATTCATCAGAACTCCGCGCAGCTTCAGAGACGTCCGGAAAACTCACCGCATGCGTTTGTCATGATTATTAGTTCTGCCTGACACCTCTGAGTGCAGAGGCTCACCAGTCTTCGGCTCGACCGATCCGACAGAGCGAAAACTCGAACAATATGTACATGGAACGAATGATTCGAGAGTTTCGATGAATTTCCGAATCTAATTTTCTGAAGCGATGGTCACCTTGTTCGAAAGAATGGAACCCTCGGCTGAGAAGTCCGAGACAGAGGGCACGACTCCAACGGATTGAGACGGGAAGTCGCTTCACGCGGTCGGGAACTTTCTGAGGGGCATCGGATGATTACTGGGTGATTGTAGGAGTTCTGTGGCGATCGGGGCACACTCACTCGGGAACAATGGGAAGTTGCAACAACGGAACGAACAACTCAGGCGAAGTAGCTCTCTTGTCGTGTGCTTAATCGAATTCCAGTGACCATTGTACAAGTTAGTCGTTCTGCGGCCGTCGGACGACTAGAGTTTATGCGGACACAGACGACACCAAATCCAGCAGTTTTTTTCCGCCACCATTACCACTTGGTGGCACTCTCACGCCGCCGCCGCAGCGCGCCGTTGCAGGACTCTGGCTACAGTTTGGTGGTGTTAGTGGAGGACGACGAACAGCTCTAGGACAAGAGTGCAACGCTGAAACCCTTCTCTGTCCCGCGCCTTCCGAGAGCTCGCCAATCTTCCTCCGCTAACTTGCGGGGAAACGGTCGGCTCTAGTCATTAACAGGAAGGAGCTAGCTCTAACACTAATGTGTCCACCTCAAATTAGGCCTAATGTCGTCTGGGGTTCGAGTTTGTGTGCGGCCAGACAGATTCACGCGCATCGTATGGCGGCGCGCTTGAACGGCTGCCTGCTCCCTGAGGACTCGCCGCTTCGATGCGGAGCAATTCACCGTCAGGTCAAGGAAACCGACTTCGAAAGTTGTCCACATCTCAAACGCCTTGTTTGGAGGCATTAAGAGGACTTCTATTTCGTCCGAAGAACAACCCCCAGCGATGGCTGGACGGATTCACTCCTCCGGAGGACATTCGTCCGACGTTTCAGTTCTTCCGAGTTCCCCGGGAGGGATTTATAAGCCGAGCGACAAAAGGACTTGCGTTCCCTTCGTGGTCGACATCGCAATCGCCTGTCTCGTCTAGCGAAGATCGCAGCACCACGGGCTCGAAACTGCGCTATTTGAAGGGTTTTCCGTCTAATGAATAAATTGCGCAGGCGGGACATCGAGATTTAGCGCAACCAGCTCTGGATTTGCGAACAACAATCGGGATTCGGCAGTGTGGCTATAAACACTTATGAGAATTGCGGGTGATAATTCAATATTCAGCTCGTTCTCTAAAATGGGCCACTGAGGCGTCCGCACAACACGTTAAGCACATTACCCGGACTGTAATCTTGATAACGGAACGATAATAATCAAGGCCTTCGACGCATTGTTGGCTTGGTGGCTCGCATCATCAGCTCTAATGTGAAGTCTTTGCCTTGCGTTGTTTCGTCCTAAATTGACGAAATTGCGGGTTGAGCGAACGCCGAGTGGAAATTGGCGGAGTCGCGGGTTTGCTCTCAAATTTCATCGGCGAAGTTTACCCCGCTTCCTTGTTCTCGCCCATCGTTTCCGAGTGTCGAAGAAAAGAAGCGAGAGATGTCAGAATCGAATTTGAGTTTGAAACCCTCGAGTTTCGAGCGGTCTATGCCGCCGTTCCATTGTTGGCTCCGGGCTGTCAGTTGCGCCGATACCCTTGCGCCAGCAACGCAGATGACGTCGTTTACGTGGTATACGGAATTCATTCCCTTCGCTGATTCATTCGATTCAATTAGCTGCTTCGGTAGACGGCTTTCGGGGCACCCTTACGCCACGGAACGCCATGCCACGATCACGTCGGGCATTGAACACTCGGTCATGGTCGGTCTGAGCTTTAGATATTCAACTCAGGTTCCGAGCCGAGGAAAAAGCGGAACTTATTTATCGTTAGCTTTTGTTGAAGCTCAAATCCTTTCATTTATTGTTGTTGCCGTCGTCGCAGCCGCCGCCGTTATCTCGGACGCTATTGTTGTTGTCCATTGCTGGTGCTTTTGCTGCAAGGAGCAGCGGCGATGGCGGTGGTGTAGAGAGGAGAGACTCACTTAGCCTTATAACGGCAGGTCAGACTCCGCCCCCAAGCTCCGCCTATCGTGGGGTTGGGGTGCTGCTGCCAGGAGAGGGAACGAAGCAGAAGAGGCAACGACGACGACTTGGGAAGGGTACGGCGGCGGTGTTGGCAGCGGCGGCGGCGGCATTGGTGGTCGTGGGGGATGGACGAACTCCGGGGAGTCGGAGGGGTGTAATTTATCATGGAGAAACGAACGGAGCGAGCTAGCTAGCCGAGGGGAAGAGCAACGAACGAACCAACGAGGTACTACATACAACGCAGCTTGGCGGCCCGACTGGCAGGCTGGGAGCCGAGGAACGACATAAACTTCGAGACGGCGGCGGTGGCAAGCAAGACACTCGCCCTCTTGTTACCGCTCTCTCTCCTTTCTCTCGCTTTTTCTTCATCGCTTGTCTCGCCTGCTCTATGAGACCTTCCCACCAGCTGATTCCGTTGACGTCAAAACATATGGAGGATACGCCTGGAGTTCCCGCGATTGCCGGAAGAATGCATCGATACTTGAGTGCTCGCAGGGGAGGGGCTTCCGAATCTGGACCCTGCCCCCGACAGGATTGATCTCCAATGGCAAGACCAATTAGAATTAAAGAAAATTATCATCCCTTAGTCCAGGAACTGAGTAGATTCGGAGCATAGGGATGAACACTGCATACAGGAATATGCTTCGGTCATGGAGTATGGCTAGAATCGCGAATGAATTGACGCCGCCGAAGGCTTCTGCCGCAACAAAGTCAACATGCCATGAGCTACACGAAGCCGTCATGCGGGTCTTATGATAGTCTGCTTAGGTCCGTTTTCAATCGGGCCCTCCCGACGGAAATTCGGGATGGCAGCGTTGACCTGGAGAGATTCAGAAGCTCGGCCCCCGGTGGAAATGCTCAACCGGCTTATACCTTGACCCTGATTCCCTTAGCGATGGGAATCAAAACTCCGTCCCCGAAATCACACCCGAGGCGACGCTCTGAGCGTCTTTGCAAGAGAGCATTCGCAGAGAGGCAGGGAGCCGTAGAGGCCTTGATCCCGCCTCGTCGTGTCTCTGCCTGCCTAGTTGATCTCGGAAAATCTTCTACAGATAATACTTCCATAATTATCAGCCGGCGAAGACCGCTGCCGGGGGAGCAATCCTCCACCGAACCATTATTATCTACTGCTGAAGTCCGGGAAACGTGTCAGTAGAGGAGCCTTTCCATGGAAATTAAATATGATATCCCGTCCCGCCCTGGCTCCAAAACAGAGAGCTCGCGACGAGATCTCGGCATAGCATCGAGAGCGCGTTGCGCCTCGCTGACCTCCAACTTGCTGGTTCAACGCAAGAACAAAGATGACGGCAACGATGACGACGATAATGACGATGGGTATAATGGGCACGATGACAACGACAGGGTCCATGAGCACATAAACACACCATGGAACACCACGGGACGAGCGCGCAAGCGACGTTTTGACTAAGCAGTGCGGAACGGAGCCCTCTGTCGGACTCAGCGGGACACGGCACATAATAGCCCGGCTTTATGATGGGAACATGGCGCCGGCGGCAAGTTTTGCTTCGCCCTTCCTTTACTGTCTTGCTTGCTTGCGTGCTCGGTCGTGTGGGAGGCTCCGTTGTCCCTCCTGGCGCGGTCGCTTGTTCAGCGAGTAGAACGTTCGACTCTGAGACTCCCGCTCGGGATGGGCTGCCCCGACGGCGTGGACGAAGCTCATGGACGTCGAGACGGTCAAGGCTCGTGACCGGATCCCGGACATAAGCCGAAAAGCATTCCCCGTTGTCGGTGGGCGATCGTTCCACGGCAAGCAGATGCGACGGTACGGATATTCTGCTTCGAACGAGAAGCAGATGAGCGCTCCTCCGATAGAATCCACAACCGGAGAAGTCGCGCGATGAACTCCATGCCGAGAAGCGGTGATGAAGAAAAAGTTCCGGCGAAGTCCTCTCTGCTTGCCCTCGTTGTTGTTCCGACCCCTTGCTCGTGCGTTTGTTCGTTTGAGTGTGTGAGTTGTTTCTCAGAGACGTCCTTGTCTCTCTCAACCTTCTCTCATGTCTTCTTTTTTTTCGTCCTGTGTTCTCCTCTGCCTGCTTCGAATGCCGGTTGGTTGGCTCGCTGGCTGAGACGAGGCGACCGGTCGGCCGGCCGACCGACCGAGTGGTGCTCCCTTGGCTGTATGGCGTCCCGTCCTCCTTGGTCGTCTTGCTCTTCTTGCTTGCCTGCCGGTCTGACTGGTTGGCTCGCTGGCTGTTCGTCCCTGTGCTTGCTCTCCTGAACCAGCTCCTGCGAGCAGACAGGCAGCCCGACTGGCTGGCTGCTGGCTCCTCAGCTCTAATCAAATTACAACCCTCCTGTTTGAGATGGCGGCAGCGGCGGCGGCGGGAGCGACGCAGCGACGGTGGAGGCTGTTCCCTCTTCCCGAGACGCCGTTTCTGCCTTTCCTTTGCCTTTTCTGCTGCCAGCTAGCGGCGGCGGCGGCAGAGAACGACTTCACTCGACTGTTTTCCTGGCTGCTTTACTCTGAGCGAGCGCCGCAGCGGCGGTGGTGCAAAGCCTTCGGGGATACTCCATCGGTGACGTCAGCTCATGCCCTTTTCCGCATCCCGTGGCATTTTTCCGAGGCCGCCCCATACTTGCGATCCTCGCGCGGAACAACTCCTAGCGACATCGAGGTCGCTCCGAGAAGAATGCCCTCGTTATGCTTCGGAGCGTACCCTCGCTCCGAGCGGTGCGTCTCAAGACGCATAATGTAGCTACTGACGGAGTCGAGCTGACCTTGATCGAGACACTCACTGTAACAAACCACATACATTCCACGACTCGGAAACGCGCTCGTCCTCGGAGGGGAGCTCCTGGACGATCTCACGGGGGACCGGGAGTACCGTATTAAACGTGTATCCAGCTGATCAGCAGTTGACGCTAGTGATATTCATAATCGATGTTTCCTTTCCAGCCGCAGCCGCGACCGCCGCTCTCCCATACAAAGTCTATTCGTCCCCAACGCCGCACACTGAGGGCGTCCTCAGCGAAAAACGGAAACAGCGACGGATTCGGACAACGTTTACCTCGGCGCAGTTGCGAGAACTTGAACGGGCTTTCCAGGAGACGCACTACCCCGATATTTACACGAGGGAGGAGATCGCAATGAAAACCGACCTCACAGAAGCACGGGTCCAGGTGAGTACACGTCGTAGGTTCCTTCGCAGCACGGATGCTCCACGTCGCGAAGTCGATTCGAATCCCGTAGAATTCTGGAAAATTGCGAGCTTCTGAGGTATGTACGCGGGAAAACTGTTCCCTGGCGGTTGAGTCCTCTCGCAGTACCCGAAGTCCCCTCCCTGAGCTTCAATCCGCCTACATACAGTCCGCCGTGTAGCACACCTGCGATGCTCACTTGAAGAGTTCATTGAAACTGAATGGAGTCAGTCATGTGTTCACTGATCCACTGACTGTCTATCGTCGTTAGGCTTCTTGTCGGTCGGGGAAATGCGCGAGCTCGTCGAGCCCGGGAGTCTAGGCCTTAGATGGGCGACAACCAAATAACCACTTGACTGACTGCATTTGAGTTCGGTCCATTAGCTGCTTCATCATGAATAGAAACGCGCCTCGTCGAGCTCTGAATAGGACCAGCCGAGCAGGTTGCCGCTTCCCTGAATGGATCGAAGCTCAGTCCTCGGATCCGAGCTCATACCATTCCGGATTCTCTGTTATTCCAGCCGAGCGCAGAATCACTTTTCATGGCATGTTCGAGGCTCGGAGAATCGCTCCCTCTTCGACGCTGCAAGCTGCGAAGGAACATCGCTCAAAAATGCAGGGCCGTGATATTGATTGGCCAGTGTCTGATTGGCCATGATTGAAGATCGCGCGCGGGCTCCGATCCTTCATCGCGGCTGTCGGAGGTCAATTACACTCTGTATGAGAGTTCCTTGCGCAAGCGAATCACTTACATATATTCAACAAAAACTGGCCGCCGTAGTCACCGTCCAGATGATGCTCGATCCGGTTTCGGAATGGTTTGGGGCACCTCCGCAGAGACGCTCAGTCAGCTCTTTGCTTGTATTATTATAGAATGAGTTTGAAGTGGATAAAAAGTGACATGGCTCGTGGAATACCACGAACGGTCCGTGAGGGATCGAACGGGAGCGGGGAAATAGAAAAATCGATTTGAAGAGGCTTTGGTTAACAAACCACGACAGCAGCAGCAGCAAGACACGTGTCTGTCTCAGGAGCAGTTTTCGATTTCTTCTCCATGAGCACTTGGGCGGGTCCGCTGCAAACACGCGGACGAATTCCCAGACTCGAATTCCATCGGATTCGAGCGGGTCCGGCTGATCAGTCGCGGGCAGAGAGCGATGCTCAGAACATCAGTCCTGGAGATAAATTGTTGGAGATAATCCGGAAGCGCCCGAATTCGCTGGCTGAAATTGCAGTCAGAGTGAAAGTGCTCTCCGAACACCATCGTGGCCTTCGCCCTCCCCTTCTTTTTGGGCTTGAAAACTCTCGTCCGGAACGACGGCGCGGGATTCACTCATTTTTTTGTGGGAACCGCGGTTGTTGTCGGTGAAGTTTTCATGAAATCTATAAGAGATCGAGTGTGTCATCTTCACTTTCGCTTGGGACTGGTCAAACAAGTTTCTCTTTTAGCTCATCTACCGCCGGATCTATTCGCCTGTCTATAGGGGGGAAGTGGGCTCGGGGCCCTTTGTGTAACCACATTGAAACGATGAATTTCGCTGCGTGGGAGGACGCCAAGTCGACAGTTTGACTTTCCCATGAGGGATGGCGATGCTCTCGAGTGGAGGGTGAAGACAGGACCTGGTTTACCTCAGAAGGCTCGAGAGCGGGGGCTTAACTATACAATCATACATCATAACAACCCTTACGAAGACGTCATCGTTCTGCCAGCGTTCGTACGCTTCGGAAGAGTTCAAAAACCGAAAACACCTTTCGGAGGGCTCGCGGTGACACCCGAGCAAGATCAAGAGTTCAGACTGAATTCTTGTCATAGTTGTCATTGCCGACCGCCCTCGCAATATACAATCTGGAGGCTCACCGGGGATCGATCCGCGTGAACAGCTCACTATTTCGCCGAGCAAGTGGATAAGTACTGACGGGTGAATAGAAGCCTTTGTTTCTTTCGTCCGGCGCGGAGGATTCTGGGCTTGCACTTTCGGGCTCTCGTCCCTCGGCGAGCACATCTGCTCCGTTTGTCTCTATCCGTCTCGTATTTACATAGCAGATACGAATTCACTTATCCGCCACTTATCCTCTTACTCGTGGAGTTCGTCAATGAACCTCAAAGCACAATCTGTTGGCACCTGTTATGAAACAAATAGTCCACGGAGGATGTCTGTGGCCGGGTTCAGAGCTCGGGGGAAGAAGAAGTTGGAGGGGGCGATGTGGCACGCGTTTCCTGGGCTGGCCATCCAACCATTCAGTCAGCCCGGCCGGCTGCCGCTAGCTTGGCTGTAATCAGATTAACAGATTACTCAGGATTTGGGACGTGGTGGGAGAGTTTCTAGTGCAGGTGGACTAAATTCAATTTACACCAGGCCGGCACCAGCGAACACCTAGGTAGTTCTCCGGGCTCGCTACACAAGTACTGCGGCGAAAAAATTTAGCGCCTAGCGATCCATCGATAGCCACCATGATCGTCCCGAGCCCTCGCGAAGATTGCGCGCCACCGGACCATTCCGGAAGAGATTTTCGACGACTGTGATTTTCGCGGCACCGTTCCGTTATCCAGGATGCGGGAACTTCGACAACTCTAATGGCCGTTTCAGCGGTAGCTACTGCTATTAGTGATAGTCCCGTCCTGAGCGTTTTCGTGGATGGAGAACCGTTTGTATGTCATCGGGGTTCGCGGACTTGCGGAACAGAGCGAGTGCCTGGCGATAGCTTCACTAAATGTGACAATATGTCGAGCTGGATCGTATATTTTTTTTGTGTTTCTTTGTTGAATGGAGAAGTCTTCTGTCGAGAGCGGGGTTCGCTGTATTCGTTTTCTATCTATCTGTCGCTCGCTCCGTGCGTTCGCGATATCGCTCCTCTCTTGCCTTCGTTGTATTGTTGTCACCAGGTGCCGGCCGGTACTCCGTCGCTGACTTCAGAGATTCATCAGCGAGATCAATGGCGCGTGAAGCGATGTCTCTTCACTTCTCCCGCTCGTTTTTTTAATATTGAAAATGCGCCGAGCATCCGCTCTGTGTCACATCTCTCTATCACCGGGGCTCTCCCGCCTGTGATTTCCCGCTTCATGGAGACTACACGTCCGTACAGCGGACCGAGTGCCGGAGACCAATCTCGGAAAGCGTTCTGATCGCGCGGTGCGAATCATTTTACCTAATCCGCTCGACGGTCTTCCGATCCGGAACTTCCGTGGTCTTCCGCCGAATCCTATGGAGTTCCCCAGTAGGAAATCAGCACATCTCACACGGATCCAGGAACCGATCCGAGGTTCCGAGAAACTGAAAATAGCCGCACGATAGCAACTCATGGGTCGACCCGGCAGCGTTCCATATCGTAGAGGATTTTGATCAGATAATCAACGAGGATGCTGTGCTGCTGATCGTCTCTCTGTCGGTAGAAATAGATCAGCAAGCGGCACCAGGGGGGGAGTTCTATTGTCGATGAGCAACCGCAACACCCCGACAGCTTCTCCCCGGTGCGCCAATGCGATTCTGAGTTGAGCTATGCTAAGCTCCGGTCCCCCACCCCGTGTCGTCCTTCTCTTCGTCGTCGCTGTTGTCGCGGTTGTCGAAGCTCAATGACAATGGACTCAAAGACCGTGGATGACAACTCTATTAAGCTTATATGTGTTTAAATACCCTGTCGCTCCCGGTAGCCAGGCAGCTAGCTAGCTTGCTGGCTGACGACTAGCTGGCAGATGGCGGCACGAGCAAGAGAGCGGGACTAGGGAGCGGGCGAAGGATGACGATACGGACAATTAAATGATTGTTTAACCTGTCTCCAGTGATCGCACGCACTCGAGATTTTTGTGCTCGGTGACTCAAGTCCGGTCAGCTGTCTGCTCGGAAGACGGTCGAGAGACGGCCCGCTCAGACCCAGTTTACTGGGACGAGCCATTTCGGTGTTCAGCCGCTTCCATCCTTTCCTTTGTGAGTTTCCTCTGCTCCGCTGAAGTGAGGAGGAGTGGTGCACTCCTGACGGCAGTGCATCGATGCCAGTCTGAGCAGTCCGAGCTCCGGGTTGACATCTCGTCATCGACTCAATTCTCGATGTGTCGATGCGGCGATATCCTTCAGGCCACGGCGAAAGTTTGAATGCCACTTCGCACCCTTTGACGCCACCACCTGTCAACCATCTGCGAGAAGCTCCTTGAAGTGTTTACAATCTCCTCTAGGAGTTGTTGCCGTGACTCAAAGACCTTCCGACAAACTACCGAAACTGGCAAGAGAGTCGCGCGATCGAGAATGAGATTCCATTGAGCTCGCGAGTTCAACAGTTTTATTGCCCGATTACAACTTTCAATGGCTGCGTAAGTCGTTGCGCACCACCACGGCGACCATCACCACTGCAACTACCGCTACCACTTAAGGCAGTGCCAGGCTCTGGAGTACCATATAGTGCATAGGTTGACAATTACCAGCCAATAAATAAGGGAAATTGCAAGTCACGCCTCCTGTCCGAGCCGTCGCTCGGCTGAATGCAAAGTGCTCACGAACCATCCGAGCAAGCTGGACTTGAAAGCAGCGGTCCGAGACCGGCCGTTCGCGCTAACTAGTTCAGGAGATGAATTGATGGACTGCGAACAAAAATTCACGGTCTGCCTTCAAATGATTCAGTCGAAACGGGTCAACAATCAACAATGGTCCGAGTCCGTGGGTCGAGTCAGAGCTCGAACAATATGGCTGACCAGTGCGAGTCCAATGAGAGTTCCTCCTCAAATGATTCTATCGAAAGCGAGATGCTTCTGTCGATGGGAGATTGATTCCTGGCATCTCAGCTACCTCCCCAACACAGTGGCATTCTCGGGCGTTTTATTGACGTTTTCACGAGTCTGACGATTTTTCATGCTCCCGATCTGGGGAGCTGAGGCTGGGCGCGAGTGATTTTCTTCTCCTAACAATCGTTCCGTCTTCCAAGGTCGCATTCCTTTCAATAATTAAGCTGAGGCTGCAGACGTCTGATCCGAGTCTGCCTCTATCGCATGGCTC